ACATAGAAATACGATGCTGTACTGAAATATTTAGTCGCCAACAGGATTTTAACGACTAAAACCACAAAGGCGTTAGATAAACGTCAAACTGACACGTAGTAATCACAGGCTTTTCGTAAAAAATACACATATCTACATAAAAACACTGTGGGTAGAATTATACATATAAATCGTTTTTTCCACAGTGACTAAATTTTGCATAATCAGAAATGTTCYGCTCAGAGCATATCAATTTAACGCGTGACACATTATGGTGATAGCACAAAATTGTTCACCTATTTGCCACTTACAAAAAATACAAATATTCTCAGTATMAAATTTATTTGTGCTTATAAATTCGTTCCATTTCAAAAAATATTTATTTTTATTTTTTTCATCAAACCTTACAAACAAATTAAAATAATATTGTAAATAAAGAACAAAAATTATTAAATTAACTTCTTTTTATTAGTATAAGCAAAATTATGCAAGCTTTCAACTTATCTTTTAAAAGGTATATATTCTACAATACGATGATAAATTAATAAACAATTAACAGTTATACGCGTTGTAAGGGATTCCAAAACTTCGATTTCTAGTTGAACATCCACTGCTGAGGCTGTAAACTGAACCATTGTGTTTTGAAGTATCAGCAAGACATGTACAAAATAAATACTTTTTTTAATGGAACGAATTTGTGAACAAAAATAAATTTGGTACTGTGAATATTCATGTGTATAGTGTATGCAGTAAATAGGTTGACGATTTCGTGTAATCACCGTGTGCCACGTGGTAAATCGGTTTCCTTCTAGTTACCGTAGACAAGTTGGCTGAGAACGTAAAAATGCATACTATGTCCTATCAAAAATATTCATCACCAACATCTAATAATAACAATAACGTCAACCATTATAATTAAATATGTAAATAAAAGATAGAACTGAAACGTTTACGATGATTTTTTTCGATTTCGGTTCTAATTTGGGATCGGTTATTTAAAATACGAATTACCTTTAGTTAATTATGTCTATATTGGTGATTAGTTGTAAACATAACTACAAAATCCATTTTCAACTTAAATGTGTTAATTCTATAGCTAGATTGGAACTATACGTGTATAATAAAATGTATTGTTTTTTTTTTTTTTTATTAAATGTATTGGCAAATTTCTCAATTTTATTCAGAAATAATCCTTAATCTTTTCATAATAAAATAATAAAATAAAATTGTACTTTATTTTACATAATATATTTTCGCTACTTACTGTACACTTGAAGTTTCTGAATAATCAATCATCTAACGCACATATAGATCTCCTCTCGTAGTCTAATTAAACGTCACTTTTATAGTTATACAAATAATCGACCAATAATTAACAGTTGCAGACTCATAATTATCATAAAGATAAAATTCTTTAATTATAATTATATGCCCACACAAGTCAAACCACTACTGAAATTTCAAATGCTCTTATATTTTCGTAATCCACATACCGTTGATTGATATTAATACTATACAATCGGAAAAATTTCGAAGTTTACGATGCTTATCGTAGCAACAGAATACCTAAAATAAATTCATGCCATGTTCGTAAACATGAAGTGTCTATGATATTTATATATTGCATTTGAGTGTTAAGAAYTWTGTGTGTTTGATGGACATAACATGAAGATAACCTTCAGGAAATACTCAAAATTGGAAAAAAAAAATGCTTATATTTCAGTATTATGTCACAAAAAAAAAAAGACATAAGCGAAATAATTTATTTTGATAAAAAAAATGTTTGTATACATACGATATAAATGAATAAATTGATGTGAAGTACAATGCAAGTGTTGATAAGAAATGTATAATGTGTGTGAATTTTTAAGTTATACATATAATATGCGTTTTTTACGATAATAAGTTATGTTGAAAAAAAAGTATCTTATATCAAGACTTATTCGTCAAGTTTTAATTTGAAGAGTCATGAATACTGTAACAATTATAGTGGCAATATATTTTCATAGCCCACTGACAGTAASGTAAACAATAAACGTATATTTGAAGAGTTTGCATAAAAATATGTAAAAAATWAGTACCTGGTAAACATTTAGAGAATTTTTTTTTTAATAATTTGTATTACACCTAAGTGCAACATTCCATGTGGGTTCAATCCATAAGCTTCACTACCAATATATATTTAGCCATATAGGTACCTATGTACTGGACTACCTCACTATATCATAATATTATTCACGTTTTAATAATTTATTAATATAATAAAATACCAATACGCCATATAAATTACACCATATAAAAGCGATTGTCACTGTGGGTAAATATTTTCCCATCATGACTATACCAACGAGAAATATAATTTATTTCTCGCACACTGTATGTAAGCACTTCAACTACATAAACCTCGTGGCCTGTATAAAATATTTACACAAAAAATATACCGTAGAATTCAACACTTCAAAATCGGTATATACTATAACAAAAATGTGGTCAAAAGTAAGTCATCACATTTGGGGGAGTTTCGCCCGTTTTTATTTGTGTAAAAACGCGTGTTTTATTGTTGAAAACTTCGTAAAAGAAAAGAAAAAATTAAAATACCAAATAATAAGCAGWTGACATAATGACTGCCAAATCTATCTTTGTCAATTATAAATATTACAAGTACTAGGTTTAGCATTATAATTATGCCCGTTTGTCGTTGTTCTAAAAACTATCAACGGATCTCAAAAAAWTTTTTTTTCACATCTTAAAATTGAAAAACATATTCTGAATCTCGAATTTATCATATCGACGTGACTGTTTATAATTTAAATCCTAAGATAATGAAAATGAGTAATAATTTGATTATGATGCATATTATTTTTATAGTTTACCAATAAATATATCAAAATAAACAATCGGCAGAAATGAAATTAAAAAAAAACAACAAAATCTCATGTTTCTGATGTGCTATGATAAATTGTGCGTTACACTGTCTATAGTTTAACATTTAACTGTTTGAAAAAAATATAGATTTGGAGGCACAACCCAAATTTCAAGTTTATACGAATGTCTTTAATCGAATTACAACAAAAAAACTACCAAAATTTAAATGTCTATAAATAGCTCAAAAATGGCTAGAATTTCCGAACTTTAAACTGTAAAGAATAAAATACAAAAAAAAAATATTTTATCATTTGAAGCAATATTGGTGCCAAAATAACTTAACTCGTGGGCGTACTGACTGTGGAGCGTGCCACATACAATTGGCCACGTAAAAAACAATTTTCTCTTACATTGATCCCTGCAAATTTCAAGGTTTGCACTTGTGATTTGTTTATTGTCATGGAAAAAAATAGTATTACAGGAAACTGAATTCTGTTGAATTGGAAAGGATAATCTGATGGTATCATTGGTATGCGAGGAATAAGAACTGATTCACCTTTTGMAAATCCAGTCATAATAATAGCATCRATCAAATTCTTTTGTAAACCTAACCGTTGTACAATTTTGGYGGACTAAGATTTCTAAGAAGCATTATAGGACAACCAATTTTTAATATTAATAAAAGTAATGGAAATCCAGAAGGGTTTAGTGAATTGAAAAATTCAACTGGATAATTAACTGCATCATCTACTTCCAATACTGAATCCACTGATCTGTATTCCATATTTTTTTGCATTGAAAGATTTCAATAATATTTTGTTTATATCTCCTGCCGTATCGTTTTTTTATGTAAATATGGCATTCTCACATAACCAGACCATTGATTTATCTTTGATATTTTCGATACCTGGATATATTTTGTCCGTGAGTTAATTTATAGTTTTTACAACAGTTCCTAATCTGGTCGGCAAAGTAATTTTTTCTTCATATTCCGAATATTTTCTATCTCCTATTTTTAAGAGTAACTCTGAAAATTGCTTAGTAGCCCTATCTCCTTTTAAATGTACTCGCATATTTATGGACAAAGAAACTTTTTCTATTATAGGCAATAAATATGATTCAGGCTGCAATTTCGTTAGCTCGAGTTCCACTTGGTACGACTGGTAGAGTTTGTCGAAAATCTCCAGCCAGCTGTACCGTGACTCCTCTCATCAATAAATTCGAATTTTTCAGATTCTTCAAACAGTTGTTTAATGCTTCAAATCCTTTCTTATGAGACATTGGGCTTTCATCCCAAACTATGAGCTTGAATTTTTTTATAACTTTCGCCAAATTTGATTGTTTATTTATATTACACGTTGGGGTCTCGATGGTAATCAAATTGAGTGACAACTTGAAAGCAGAATGAACAGTTTTTCCTTAAKCGTAGCAGCAATTCCTGAAGATGCAACTGCAATAATTGTRATTCCATATGAGCTTCTTACTTTAGCTAAAAATAGATTAATTAGGCGGGTTTTACCAGTTCCACCAGGAGCATCCAAAAATATAAAATTTCCTAAATKCAATTTGATGCTATTTAATATTTATTTGTAAACAAACCACTTTTCCTTAGCTAATGCGTGTTATTTGTGCTTAACAATCTCGTGTAAAGCAATTAAATCATAGCTTGTTTCYTTTAAATATTCCCTATTTTCTAACAGTCCACAAGATCTTGTAGGAGTTAGCAAACCATAATCTTTTGAGATCATTCCACCTAGATTCAAAACATAATCTTCAATTAATACYAAACATTTATTATAAAGTTCATCGTCTGTTATATTATTTTCCATGTGTTATCTATGGTATTGTCGCCGGATATCATCTGAAAGAATTAAATGATTATCTATTCTTTTTTAAACATAATTCTGTATGAATAAAAGTCAAAAGCTGATACTAAGCTGATTTTTCATATCACGGACATAATTCTCAGCAGTGGAAAAGTTGTCATCATATGAATCGCAAAACATATTAACAAAGGTATTCCAATTATCAGAGACAAACGCAATAATTGTATTTCGGATCTCCTGGCTTCTTTCTTGAGTCTTAAATACTCGGTAAATGAAAGGAAATTAAACGGAAATGAAACGCACCATCATCGATAATTGGTACAACTATTTGAGATGACAACATTGCATTCACAGTAATTTCTTCATCAGATGTAATTTTTTATGAATGAAAGTGAAWAAAATAACTGAATAGTTAATAATATCTTATACCCATATTATATATTATATAGCCAACGACAATAACCTCTAATCAATAATAATAATAATAATTTAATAATATATACAAATAAACATAATATTAGATATTGCTTGATAAATAAATTACGCCACTGTTGTATACTTACAACCACGTAATTTTACYTTTAGTGGTTGAATTTCCAAAAATCCTTTCTTAAAGCACGGTGAAATTATAACATCCTGAAAATTTCAAGCAGATTTGCCGTGTGTTTTGGGCTCTACGGAGATCCCTCTGGAGGACAAATTATCTATTGTCAATGATTAATGTTGTGTAAAGTTTCATTTTTAAACACAACAACATTAATCTTYAGAAGACTTATYATAATATATTAACTCACTGTTATTGTAATTATTGGCTAATTGAATGAAATAAGTATTATTTGTATTGAATTAGTATATTATAGGTTTTGAATATTATAGAATCTACTTTACATTATAATTTATAATATATTGTTATTATTTTTTTTTTTCAGATACAGAATATTACATAATTAACAATATAATTATCGGTAAATCCTGCAGGTATTTTTCGGTCCAAAATTTCAATTTATATATATAATTTAAAAATATATAATTATTTAAAAATACAGGGTGCAATAATTTCAACCTTTTTTTCAACAATACGAGACAATAGAAACTTATTTGAGAAAATATAAATAATTTGATAACATATTTTTTACTAAACCCGTTCTACTATTTTTTTTGTCTTCACACTTTAGAAAATCATTAGATTTAAAGATCAAAGTTTTGAAAGTAATTTAAGAACAGTTTTGTGCATATTGTTATTAGAATCGTATCTTTGTTCTTAAAGGTAAACGCATAAATTAATTAAAACTTTTAAAGACACGCTACAAACAATACTTATAGTGACATGGCAATACTATTTAAATTCACAGAAAATGATACATCGTAAATATATTATAATTTATTATAATTGAMAAATATTAGCCATAGATATTGCATAACATTTTTATTTATTTCCTTGTCATCCACTGATTTTGGGTACCTATTCTATATACTGTACAGTGTACATATTATAAACTTAACACAATATTAATTTAATTTTCATTTAAAATGCATATGCATAACAATTTTTTTTTTAAACAGCGAAGATACGAGTATTAAAATTTATAATGAGCTATKTATTACAGCCATTACAGGCATATTGGGCATATTGAAGCTTAGCACATTAATAAATATAGGTAATTAATGCGTCTTAGTGAATCTCATAACAATAATACTTACTACGCTGCTATCGTTGAAAATTGGAGGAATTAGTTTTATCATATTTTAAAATATTATTATTATGGTATAATAGTCATATTTTCTATCTCGTTTTTGTTCAACCTTAGAATCTGACGTAGTGGTTTTCATTTTTTCGTGAAATTTATACCTACTATTTTATTTTAATACAGCAAAATTCTTTACACCTAACTACATAAATATTTGTCCATTAAATTGAAAATAATAATTAAAAAAGTGGGTAAGTGGATGTCACTCTGCTGTACATTAGGGTGGACCTCTRACTAGGGTAGGTTAARTTTGAACGCAATGATAGGTATCATTGTATACGAAAAATGATTCTGAACGGAGATGATTTGTCAGTGTAGGATATAGGTATTATATTTAAATATTGTCATATATTCTATTTTGAAACAAAATTTTTATTTTTCAATTTGGACTCATTTTGCAGATGGCATGGTTAATCAATTTTTCCAAAAACATTGCATGTAGGTAGTTATCATAATAAGGTATTATGAATTATTCATAATACCTTATATTATCATAGATGTATACCTGGTTTTAAGGTAAATCGTTATCGTTACGCGATTTCATAAAAATTTAAAAATCAAACACTCAAAAGCTGATTGACTTGTAGGTATATTTTAAATATAATGTACATTATTTTCAAGTATATCTATATATAAAAATAATAACTATTTTTTTAGAACATGAAAGATTAAAAATTCGTAAAAAAACAAAAAAGGATTTTCAATTAGCGAAACTCAATTTTCAATAATTCTATAGTATAAAATGGAGAATACGCGAAGTTGGATACTTAAACTTAAATGGTAGTTGTGAGGTAGGTAACAAATGATTTGTAAATTCTAGAAATGAATCTGCAAATTAACATTTGTATTGTAGGGGCCAAGTTCACTGAATTTGGTTCATCCATTAAGTTTATTTCGGTCACAACTTTGCTCCGAGCAACTTACAATTTCCAAAAATCAACTTACAATAATTACTTACAAATTAAGCTAAACAACTTACAATCTGTCCGGTGTAATTTGGTGAAAGTGGGGGGCTAGTACCTCCAAGTTAATTTTGACAGTTACTCCGAACTTAACGTACAAATTCTAAAAATCAACTTACAATTTACCCGGTTTAATTTGGACATAATAGGGGGGCTAACTTCACACACGTATTCATCACTCCGTTCAGAATCTAAAATCGGGTAAGTCGTGGATGTCGCTCTGCTGTACAGTAGGTTATAAGTGGGTTACTGTAATGGATGGAATTGTATTTGAAATCCAATGATATTATATCTTTGTATACGAAAAACGATTCTGAGCGGAGACGGTTTATCTGTCTAGGATATATTATAGATTACCTATTAAAAATTAGATATAAATATATCTTAGATATAAAAAGAAAAATTTTTATGAATTTCTAGCTTAAACTAATTTGCGAATTTTTGTGATTTTTACGTATTTTGTCAAACTTCAAACTTTGAATGTTTATAAAAAAAAATTTTGACCATGAATTTATTTTATTTTTAACTGCTATTGTAACAATATTTTAAGAGCCTTTTATTAAATTTTCATGCTTTTCTACCCAAAAAATAAATTTTTATTGATAATTTAAAAAAAAACAAATAATTGCATGTGAACAATTGTGAAAATTGCATGTATCTATGGTCATTTGTTCTAAGGTTACATCAAAAACCAAAATCGATTTTGTCGAAAAATGATTGTGTGTAAAATTTCCCGTTTTCCTTCAATTTTTAGTTTGTACCAACTAGATTCACTTTCTGATTGAACGAGGTACTGAAGTCAAAAATCGAAGCACTTTTACTGCCCCAAAACATGATTACAGACACAAAAAATAAAAACACACATCATGGTAAAATCAATACATTCATCGCTCCTCTAAGAATCTAAAAATTGTAATAGTTATTATAGTATTCCATCGTTATAAGTAATTATTTCTAGGTAGCTTAAACTTAACATAACCATTGTAAGTACTGTGTTTTGTATTAAATATATCCACTGAATCTGAAAAACTAATAAAATTGATTACCAATTAATCATAAAAATTTGGAATATACAGGATGTTCCATGAAGGTTAGGTGAAGGTATACCCATTAGGCGTAAAGGGAGAGTCATCGTCCTGTTTTATAGCCGTTTTAACCATAAACTAAAAAATATATTAAAAATCATGTGCTTAATGAAAATACAATTTTGAAAGGTCAACATTTTCAGCAAAATAATTCTATAAATTCTATAAATTCCAAATTTAAAAAATATTTTTCTAAACTTGTTTACCAAAAAATTAAATGCATGTAGCCCTTGCCTATGTGAGTTTAATA